TTCACTTCTGCCTACCCCTTTCTCAAAAGGTCTCTTCATATTTCACACAAGTCCTGGAAAGAAGGTCCTCTCCTATTACTCCCTCTGTCACAGATCCCCATCTCTTCCTAATAAAAGGCAGGACCCAGAAAGTCATCTTGGCTTCATCAGATACTCCTCCACTGTCCGAGACAAAGGGCTAAGCAGGGAAGACTATTTACCCTGGTCCCCCAGCTTTCAGTCACTGCCAAGTCCAATGGAGAAGGCTTTTGGGACAAATAGGTCTCTACCCTGCTATACCTTTTGATCTCAAGCCTTGCACAGTGATCTGCAAAGTGAAAGATGCTCTCCTGACTTCCTCCATCTTCTGTTGCTCCATGGTTATGTGGAGAGGTCCCAGGAAAAAAGAAACCCTCCTGCCCTAAAGCTCAGAATCTGAAGTAGGACGCTTGCCATTTGTAAGCCCCACTCTTGCAGGACTGTGGGACCTGCACAAATGAGAGCTCCCTACAGAATGGTGCATAAGTGTGATCATGTTATGCTGATGTGATCTTGTCAATTGTAGCTATAGAAGGCACAACACTTCCAAACAGAAATATGGTTTTCAAGTTGACTGTGTGCTCTTCATAAGTAGATATAAGAGGTCCAGGTAGATTAAGAGTGAACAAACCACATTGAAGTATTTATGGTGCCTTTTATTTCTTCAAAAAATTACAGTCCAAGTTAGGATTTGGTAGTCTGACAGGCATAAGGCTGTCAGGATAGAGAAAATTCTCCTCTGGCAATCTGTTTGGCAAAGTCTCTATAATTTTGCTACACAGTTATGGCAGTGAGAAAAATGACCAGATACTTGGTATGTGCGGGGAGGGAAGCTTTAACAGTGCACATGCTGCAGCTGGAGTTATCTTTTAAGAGCCCCAGTAAGTACAAAATTCTAAGGGGGTTCTACTTTAAAAACTAACAACCCTTAAAAAAAATAGCAGATTGAGAGGTGGGGAGGCAATCAGATGGTTTTCAGAAGCCTTGTGAAATAATTTTCTTTCCACATCAAGCTGATTAGAAGACATGCAGATACTATGGCCTGGGCTACACAAGAAAAAGGACTCACTCCAAAATGACGGTTAACTAGGTCAAGAGAAAGATTCAGTACTGGGAAAATTGGTTGAAATGACAGGAAAATCACAGATTTGCCAGACACTTAAACTTAATTTGTTAGGGAAATATGATTTTTGAAGAGGAAAAATCAGGTCTTACTAGTCTACTAGAATTCTTTGAGGAAGGTCAACAAGCATGTGGACATGGGGGAAATCCAGTGAACTTAGATTTCTAGAAAGCCTTTGACAAGGCTCCTCACCAAAGGCTCTTAAGCAAAATGAGCTGTCATGGACTAAGACAGAAGGTCCTCTCATGAGCCTCTGCAGCATTTTAAATATAGACAAGCCCTTTGTTTTCAGGCCCAGAAAAATGCACCAGTCTCAGGACCAAAGTCATTCTTACATATCTATGTAACAGGTTGCAACTCACTGCTGCTGTGCCACCTGCTGGAAAGTCAGGGAATCAGGTCTTCAGCTCTGGAGTACTACTGTTCCCTTTTATTCTCTACCACTTTGCATTAGGACCCTGATCCTTCCCAGATTGCAGTGTCCTCCCCTCTGGGTACTGCCCTGCTATAGTGCCCCCACACTCTGGGGTCCTCGCTCCTAGGGAACCCCAAAGCCCTTATACCCACCTTATTTCAGTGACCCACCACCAGTCATCAATTAAACTCTTACCTCAGGGGCAAACTGCAGTGTGAAATGGCCACTCATCTGCAAGGGGTGTAGACCTGCTGTTTTGTCCTGCTCTGGCTGCATCCCTGGTACCCTCAGGCCTTGCAGCTTACCTGGCCAGAGCTTCCCAGATCTGCCTGCCTTTCTCCAGCCCTGCTCTGCTCTGTATTAAGAAGCCTCTAGCTTAGGTCCATCCTGCTCCACAGCTGGAACAAGAATAAAAAAAAGACTTTCCTCCCCTCCAGGAACCCTCATTTATACAGCCCTCAGCTGGACCCTAATTGGCTGCTATCTGCTACAGGCTCTCCCAGGGCTGGATTTAACCCTTTTTAGGACCAGCAAGCTCTCTTGGGTTGTTGTCGAGTGGCATTTGAGAGAAAACATGGACAAAAGCTCAGCAATAGCCCCAGGCAAAAGCAGCTCTCTTCAGGTTGAGAATAAACCTTAAACGATATGTATCACATGATTTATGGATTATAGTCCCTTAATGTTACTCCCTACTGCATGAGTGCCAAATATTCTATTTCAGTAGCTTTCAACCTTTCCAGGTTACTGTATCTCTTTAGGTGTCTAATTTATTTTACATACCCCAACTTAATCTCATTTCAAACCCCAAGTTAACCTCGTTATAAAAATCAGCCATAAAATACAATAGTTACACAATACTATTACTGAAAAATTGCTTACTTTCTCATTTTACCATATACAAAAATATCAATGTGAATATAAATATTGTAGTGACATTTCAGTGTATAGTATATACACAGCAGTGCAAACAAGCCATTGTCTATATGAAATTTTAGTTTGTATTGATTTGGCTAGTGCTTTTTATATATCCTGTAATACAGTGTCCCAAACTTTTCAGCATCACGCCCCCTTTTTGATTTTTGAGAAACCCTCATGCCTCCCCACCTCTTCTTTACTATCACCCAACCCCCCCCTTTTAACAAAAAATTCAATTCGTAATTTAAAATTAAAAATAAACACAAATAGTTTTTCTTGGTGCAAAAATTTAATAAAAATGTAATTTAACATAAGAAATAGAAAAAACAAATTTAATGTGAAGGATGATGCTGCATTTTCTTTACAAGTTGGCAAATCCTAGTTTTGAAATGAGGAATTTGGGTGTGGGAAGGGGTGAAAGGTGCAAGCTCTGAGAGGGAATCTGGGTGCAGGAGGAGGTGAAGAATAGGCAGCTGACTGAGGGAGGGGGCTCCAGCTTGGAAAATGTTGGGATCAGATGGAGAGTTGGAGTGCTGAGCAGACCACATGCTTGTGGCTATGAGGGTGCAGGAGTTCAGGTTGGGAAGTGTGAGGGGCTCAGAACATGGGGGCTGGGAGTATGATGGGCTCAGGACACAGATTAGCAGTGTGTGGATTGTGCAGTAGTGTTGTGGCAGAGGACTGGGGATGTGAGAGGCTCAGGACAGGGGGTTAAGGTGTATGATGGGCTCACGGTTGCTATGTGGGGGAGGATGCAGGGGTGTTGTGACGTTGCGGCCAGGGCTTGGCCCTTTTGGCCAGGCTTCATTTTTAAATACAATATGTCCAACACAAATGTTTCAGCATTGTCTTTATTTATGGGAGGGGCAGGGAACATATTTTGGGTCAGAGGTCACTGACCCACAGAAAAAAAAAAATCAGTCAGGGATCACACAAGTGAGATGCAAAAACACAACTCCAAGCCCCTCCCCCCCAAGCCTCACTGATGTGGCCCCAACTGAGACATCCTCCTCCCCTGGCACCCCAGCCACATTCAGGGAGGGTAGGTAGGATTGAGGTTCAAGGCCTCAGGAAAGATTAACTCTTCTGGGGTTCCAGGGTTAGTGGAATTTGTGGGTCCCTCTACACTCTGAGATGGGGCCAAAAATGAGGGATCCAGTGTGTGGGACAGGGCTGCCAGTAAGTGGGATAGGGATGGAGTGCAGAATCTGGGTGGAAAATAGGGTACAGAAGCAAGCTGGGGGTAGGTGTCTGGCCAGGAGGGAGGGGGCAGGAGCAGGATGCTGGTGGGTGTTTGGCCCCGAGGCAGAGGCAGGGTGCTGGTGGTGTCTGGACAGGATGCTGGATGGGGTCTGGCCAGGGGGTAAGGAGCAGGTAGGGCCCTGGGCAGGGTGCAGGTGGGAATCTGGCAAGGGAATAGGGCGCTGGTGGGGCCCTGAACAGGGTATTCGTGGAGGCCTGAGCCAGGGGGCAGGGTACTCATGGGGGTCTGGGCAGGGGGGAGGGGACAGGACAGCTCGGCTGGTACTTAGGGGTCCCACAGCTCTGCGCTAAGTCTAGGTCTCAGGAAGCGCGTGCACTGCTTTCACCTTCCCCAAACAGCAGGCACATTTCCTGAAAAGCCGGGTCTGTTGCACTGCTGGAGTCTTCCTTCCCACTGCTTCCTGTGCATGGGGGCAGGAAGGAGTAGGAGTCCCAGGACCGCGCCAGCTCCAACTGCTCAAGCAGTGCACGCCCTGCTCCTCTGTTCCCCGCCGCAGCGGCACACTGCCTGAGCATTTGGAGCTGGCATGGTTCCAGGACTCCTACACCCCCACCCCTCTACCCATGCAGGCAGGAAACAGGGGGAAGAAGTACCCGGCAGTATGACAGACCCAGCATTTCAGGAAACACACCGGCTGTTTGGGGCAGGAAAAGAGCAGCCCGTCTATCTCCTGAGATGCCAGCTTTGCCGTGCAGCTACAGGACTTTCCCCTCATGCTGCAGAAAGCCAGCGTTACCTCCATTTTCGCAGGAGGCAGCGCCAGCGCAGGCTCTTTCTTCAGGTGGAGAGAATGATGGGAGGGCTGGGGTGCCTCGCACCCTCCCTTGGAATTTCTTCACGCCCTCCAGGAGACACACACCCCAGTTTGGGAACCTATGCTGTAGTAAAACCAGGCAAATATCTAAATGAGTTGATGTACCCCCCCCAGGGGTACCCGTACCCTGGTTGAGCACCACTGCTCTATTTGATGTGGCAGGAGATGCTGAGGTCTATTGCAGTTTTCAGTAGCTGAAAGGATATTTCAGTTCATCAGCTGTAAATAAAAGGAAACTCAACATTAACATATACAGTTCAAGAGTCACAGATGTGACTACTGAATGGAGATCTATATTTGCTACAAAGTTTCAGTGAGCTTTAAACATTTGAGAGTGCTATTAATATTAAATTAATTATTGAACTTAAATGATCAAAATTCAAATTATGGATATATGGCCTATTATGCAAAACACACAACTACTAAAAGACACTTTCTTTTTTGATTCCAGGACTATACACTCACAATGTATTTCCAGCAGTCCTGGAGAGACAAAAGGCTGTCTTACTCGGGAATACCTTTGAACCTAACTTTGGACAACAGAGTAGCTGACCAGCTCTGGGTGCCAGACACATACTTCCAAAATGACAAAAAGTCATTTGTTCATGGGGTTACAGTGAAAAATCGAATGATTAGACTACATCCTGATGGAACAGTCCTTTATGGCCTACGGTATGTGGTATTTTACCTTATGTTTCATGTTTTTTGGAATATTATATACATGCTGTGGTAGTAGCTATACAGCATGAATCATTGAACATTAAAACTGGAAGGGACCTTGAGAGATCATCAAGTCCAGTCCCCTGCCTTCATTGCTGGGCCAAACACCATCTGTCTAACCTGCTTTTAAATATCTCCAGTGATGGAGATCCACAAAACTTAGATTCCACAACCTCCCTAGGCAATTTATTCCAGTGTTTAACCACCCTGAAAGGACCTTTTTTCTTAATGTCCAACCTAAACCTCTTTTACTGCAGTGTAAGCCCATTGCAGTTTAAGCCCATAAAAGCCCTGGTCTACACTAGGGAGTTATTTTGAATTAACACCCTTTATTTAAAAAAAAAAAAATAAGTGGAGCGTCCACACTATCAAGCCCATTATTTTGAAATAAGGTGCTGGCTATTTCAAAATCTGTACTCCAGCTTTCCTTGGGGAATAAGCTTATTTTGAAATAATTATTTCAGGAGCTATTTCAAAATAATTTCCTAGTGTAGACATGCCCAAAGAGAATATGCAGGGTCATCTCAAAGAACTCCAGGTCAAAGCATGTAAACTTCATTTTTAATTTGAGCATTTCTATGTAGTCCCTCTTATAGATAAGTTTGTTAAGCAGTGCTAGAAAATCAGGAGGTAGAAGAGTAATAATTAAATAACAATCGAACTGCAGCTCTACCAAATGGAACATTCACTCTAGACACCAAATGCAAAACATAATGCTTAGTAAATGTAGCCACTAGCTTCCAAGCAGCCTTACAGATTTCCGCAACAAAACAAGTTGGCTGAGAACAACTAACCACAGCCAGCAAGAACTGTAAGTGGTAATACTGGTGGACACTCAGGTAAATAAAGTGTCTTTCCACCTGCCAAGAGCTAACATTGGTGAACGGCATCAGTCACATGGGTCGCTTATTGCCTACACCTGGCCCAGATTGTCAGCTGGAGAAACTGGAGAGCCAGATGAAGAATTCTTCCATGCTGCTGTGACATCAGGTCCAGACACAAGGGGAACGGTTCATAGATGCCTTCTGACAACTGAAATGAGTTCCAGGATAATCCTACTGAAATGTGACTTCCTTTATGCTTATTTGACTCCTGTTTGCATGTTGGGTATTTTTGTCCTGTGCTCCTTTAGGACTTGTAGGCTTCTGTCTAGACTGGTCAGTTTTTCCTGAAAATCAGCCGCTTTTCCAGAAAAACTTGCCAGCTGTCTACACTGTCCACTTGAATTTCCGCAAAAGCACTGACTTCCTACTGTAAGAAATCAGTGATTCTTGCGGAAATACTATTCTGCTGCCGTTCAGGCAAAAGTCCCTTTTGCACGAAGTTTTTGCGCAAAAGGGCCAGTGTAGACAGCTCATTCGTTTTCCGGAAAAAAGCCCCGATCGCGAAAATGGTGATCGGGGCTTTTTTGCGGAAAAGCGTGTCTAGATTGGCACGGACGCTTTTCCGCGTAAAGTGCTTTTGCGGAAAAGCGTCCGTGCCAATCTAGACGCTCTTTTCCGCAAATGCTTTTAACAGAAAACTTTTCCGTTAAAATCATTTGAGGAAAATCATGCCAGTCTTGACATAGCCAAGGGGTAATAAGCAAATGAGGCTAAGCGTGGAATATCACCGAGCCTCATTTGCATACCTAATGAGCCACCATTTTTTTCAGAAGAGGCTCTTGCACAAGAAGGCGCATCTACACTGCCCCTTCTTGTGCAAGAAAAACCCTCTTGCGCAAAGCCATTCTTCCTGTCAAGTAATAGGTGTAATGGCATTGCGCAAGAGGGTTTTTCTTGCGCAAGGAAGGGCAGTGTAGACACTCCTTCTTGTGCAAGAGCCTCTTCTGAAAAAAATGGTGGCTCATTAGGTATGCAAATGAGGCTCAGCAATATTCCATGCTTAGCCTCATTTGCTTATTACTCGCGCAAGAAGCCACAAGTGTAGACATAGCCCTGGAGTGTGCTGTAGAGCCAGGATAGGACTGCCTACAATAGCACAATGGAGTGCCCTTAGCAGAGGAATTCCCTGGCTGCTGGTGGACTACTTCAGGGAAGGGAAGAACAGTGCCATATTGGTTAAATCTCTCTGGGCCTCAATTTTCTATCTGTAAAACAGGGATAGCAATCCTTTTTTTCTTGTCTGTTTAGATTGTAGCGTCCATAGGGCAGGAGAACAACTATCTCCTTCTGCAGCATGGATTGGTGGCTGCCAGGCAGATTCACCAGAAGCAACTGGCTAGAATTCAGAGTCGTGAGTGGGTCTGCAAAATGTACCCCTGGGGATCCTGTCACATGGATTGGGTTTTTTTTTTAAGGGTTTAGCTTGGTTTTGGCCATGTGTTGAAATGGTATTAGCTTTATTTTGGCTCATTGTGAAAACTGGATTGCTCTTTTATCAGCTGTCCTTTGTCCTGTCTTATCTTCACCATCCGAATTAGTAGAAAGATCAAAACCCATATAGGGTTTTTTTTTTCTTGAAGGCGTTAGGAAAGCATCTAAGATGGACTGACTCTCCTTTCTCACTCTTGTTCAAAAACAAAAACAACACTTTTTGCTGAACCTGTGTGCAAACAGATCCACAACAGGCTGGCCCCAACAGGAAAGGATCTCTTACATCACTGGGTATCTGAGAATTGTTTCTGCTAAGCTGTTCTGTCACACACTACTCTCTGCTAAATGCAGAGTACCAGATAATATTGTTACTGTGGAAAAATATCACATGGTATTACCTGCTGCTCATACCCATTACTCTTTCACCATTATACATCGAGAGCCAGCTCCTTATAGTGAAGTACTTGGTTTTGGATTATGCTACAGTGTGTGGACATGTTCCAATAACCAAAGGAAAATAGGTTCACACCTCTGACCACACAGCCTCAGACCCAAACTTCTTGGTATTTCCTGGGAGCAAGTATACCCAAATACTACTAGATTTTCCATCTGCTCCTGCCACAGGAAGGGAAGTACCAGCAATATCTTTATTCTGATTTGCAAGATTTACAGAGCAAGATGTTTGGATAAATGTATTTGAAGTGATCCTCCAAATATATTTAGAGCTGTTACAGCTGCAATTTTCATGGCTAAACAATAACAGAATTTTGTCCAATGTACAGAATCATAGAATACTAGAAGGTCCTTGAGAGATCATCAAGTCCAGTCCCCTGCCCTCACAGCAAGACCAAGTATTGTCTAGATCAGGGGTTCCCAAACTTTTTGATACTGGGGACCAGTAAATCCATTCACAAGCTTTTGGAGGACTAGTAACATTTATTTGCATATTCATTAAGCAAATGATGAATATGCAAATAAATTGTTTCTGGTCCTCCCAAAGCCCCCAGTGCCAACAGAAAAGTCAGTCAGGGCCACACAAGTGAGATACAAAAACACAACCCCTCCGGACTCCTCAAACCTCACTAATGTGGCCCCAACTGTGCTTGTGGGTGTTGGGACAGAGTTCTGGGGAAGGGTGCCAGTGAGTGCTGGGGCAGGGGACAGGGTTCTTGTGGGAGTCGGGGGCGGGGGAGGGGACAGGGACTGATACCTGGGGATCCTGTAGCTGCCAAGGCCCAGGAAGTGCGTGTGCTGCTCCCCTGTCCCCCAAACTGCGGCGCAGTACCTGATACACTGGTCCATTGCATGCCTGATGCCTTCCTGCGCAGGGGGAGCGCCAGCCCCAACCACTTGGGCAGCGCGCGCCTTGCTCCTCTGCTCCCCACGGCAGCACGCACCGCCCAAGCAGCTGGAGCCGGCAGAGTCCCGGATTCCCACCCACTCCCCTGAGCGCAGGAAGGCAGCAGGGGAGCAAAGTTCCCAGCACGCGATGGACCGGCGTTTTAGGTATTGCACCAGCTCTTGGGGCAGGGGGAAGAGCAGCCCGTGCACTTCCTGGACCTGGCCCACAGCTGCAGAACTGTCCCGACCGCAGAGGAAGCCCGCGCTACCTCCGTTGACACTGGGAGTTCAGCACGGCATTTATCTTGGCAGTGAGGCAGGCTCTCTCAAAAATTGTTCTAAGGCCCGGTATTTTTTTCCTAAGGACCGGTACCGGGCCACAGAACACAGTTTGGGAAACTCTGGTCTAGATAATCCCTGATAAATGTCTATCAAACCTGCTCTTAAATATCTCCAGTGATGGAAATTCCACAACCTCCCTAGGCGATTTATTCCAGTGTTTAATCACCCTGACAGTTAGGAAGTTTTTCCTAATGTCCAACCTAAACCTTGCTTGCTGCAATTTAAACCCACTGCAAGAATTAACACACTGTACTACCTCAGAAGGGTCAGCTTCCATTTAAAAGTTTGCTTTCATTTCAGAAGTTCAAGACAATTACCACTGAAACTGCACGATCACATTCTAGGTATGTTTTCTTAGGTCCAGATCTAACTTCCATTGATATCAGTAAGAATCTTACAGTTGATGTCAATACAATTGGATTTGTCACAGCATGACCGCAGCAAGGAGGCTGACTCAGATTCACCACAATTCTTTAGTGTTTGCTTTTAGACATCCCATGTTATAGTTATTTGTACTGTGGTAACAGATACCAACCCCACTGTGCTAGGCACTGTACAACAAATGAAAAAAAGAGATTCTTTGAGACCAGAATCAGAGTCCAATAGTTTGTTACTTATAGAGGGTTCCTGCAGCATAAATCTCTGGTAGGGAGTCAAACAAGTCCAACAAAATTTGCAGCTGCTGATTTTTACATAGAAAGGTTTAGATTATGCAGCAAATCTCATTGTGCTATCCACTTATTCACCCAAGTGCCACTGAAGTTAGACTAGCACAACTGGGCCAAAATGAGTAAAGATCTAGGCAAGGCAATATTTGAATTCACATTTTGTGAGCACTAGTGCTGCTTTTTATTTTAAAAAAAAAGTGTAAAATAGTTTTGTCAGCAAATACAATAAGCATGTTCACAATCATTGAAATGTAGGTCTGGCAAGATGAAGTATGTCTTGGCCATC